CGTCCCCCTTCTGGTGGTCTTTACAACCATACCCCCCCCCCCCCCGCTGCTCGGGAAGAAGCCAGCCAGCCAGCCAGCCCCTCCCTTTAACCTCTGAGGTTCAGACACGCCTTCGGTTGCCCAGGTAATTACCTACTGGCATGGAGATGCAAATGCACTAAAGCCACGCGAGATACTCTGGGAATGTTACAATTTTACCCACACCAGGAAAGATAACGATGTGCTCTGTATAGATGGTCATAACGGCTCTGTAAGGTGAACTTTTACGGTTTGCACCTTGTAGTACAGGAAGCCAGGCTCACAAAATTTTGACTTATCCAAGGTCAAACTAGTGAGCGGCAAAGCCCAACTCCCATCCCGTGCTTGACAACAAAGCCCTTGTTTCTATATAGAAAACCATGTATTTATTTCCTTTCTGTTTTAGGCTTAGGGATCGTGGACATTGTTTTTCCAACCAGTTTTTTCTCTCTATATTATAAGCTCCTGTCTTTGATTTAGTATGTTTGCTTTCTGCCGGTTTACCAGCCGGTGGGGAGAAGAGTGGGAAAGAGGTTACTGTTTTTATGTTAAACGCCTCTGAAAAGCGAAATTTACAGCCAAGCACAGCAAAGGTAACAAACAGCTGGCTTTGTGCCTCCGCGGCGAGGCGCGGCTCTCCTGCGTCTTCCTTTCCGAGAATTCGTGTTCTTCCGCTAAACTACGTTTCCCAGCGTGCCGCGCGGGCGAGAGCGCGCGCTCCTCCAATCCCTTCTTCCTCCGCCCAATGCCCGGTCGCAGCGTTATGATGCGTGCGCGTCGGGCGCGGACTAGTGACAGCACCCTGGCTCGCGACCGCGGCGGCGGCCTTAGCAGCGGCAATAGACGCAATAGCGGCGGAGACTGCAGGGAAGACGACGACGGCGGGGCGGTGCTGCGCACAGAGGGGAGGGGTAGGCGGGCGGCGCCGGCGGCTCCAACTGCGGCAGCTACGGCAGCGACGGGTAGGGCGGCGGAAGCCCCAGCCCCGTCAGCCGCCGGTCGAGTTAGGCCTCACCAGCGCCTCAAGCCGCCCGCTCTGTCTTCCGCGAGGGAATCTCCGGGGACCGCGACACACACAGGGGCGCGGGTCGGCGAGAGGTAACCGGACGGGAGCCAGCGCCTCGGCCTCGGCCGCCACCACCCCTTCCCTGCTGCCAGCGCGCGCTCTCTCGCCATTCCTCGCAGCCTCGCGGTCCCCCGCGTGCCTGTGCCCCACTGTGTGCACCGCGAGGCCGGCCTCGGGCTGGGGCCGGGCGGCGGGGGCACCAGGGCGGCCGCCTCTGCCTCTCCCGCCCCCTTACCCGCCCGGGAGTGGGAAGCAGCGGAGGCCCCGCCATGGCCTCGGGAGCCGGAGGAGTAGGAGGGGGCGGCGGCGGCGGCGGCAAGATCCGGGCGCGGCGTTGCCACCAGGGGCCAGTGAAGCCTTACCAGCAGGGGCGGCAGCAGCACCAGGTACGGGACCGGGACGCCGCGGGGGCCGGGCGGGGAGGGAACGCGTGCGGGGCCCCGGCGCCCCACGTGGAGGCCTGGGAGGGCCCCGTTAAGGGCCGGCGCGGCGCGGGAGCCCGGGCCTCAGGGTGGCGACGGGAAGCGGGCCCGTCCCTGCGGCACACGCGTGTGGCTCGGGCCGCCTCTCCCCGGGGCCTGGGCCAGGGCCTGACCCGGACTGGCGCGGGGCGGGAACAGAAATTATGGGCCCGCGGTGCGCGCGTTTCTTTCGTTTTTGGCGGGGATGGGGGTTCGAGGACATTACTCACGTCTTCTGGAGGCAGAAAGGAAGAGGTGCAGCGGGAGGCCTCTGCCCTCGCCGTTTCCTAGCCTCCCGCGTTTCAGTGGGTGGGGAGGGGGCGGCCCCGGGGAATCTGCCCCCGGGGCGCCCAGGGCTTGGGAGGGAGCGCTGTTACTCTGACCGAGTGGTGACTTCGTCTCAGCTTACTAATTCCCCATCTCCTTTGGCTGTGTTCCCCTCTGATCTGGGAGCATTGGCTTCGATTTATTTATTTTTCTTTCACCGGCCTGTAGTTCCCGTGGCGCTGGGACATTTTGAAAGTCCCTCTCCACCCTTACGTCTTCTCTCCGCTGCGAGACTCTCCCCTTCCCATTCCGTCCCCCCCGCCGTCTGTTTTGGAGGCTGCAATTAGCCATTATGCACAGTTGTCTGGGACTCCAGCTCTGATCTCATGGACAAAAAGTAGTTTAATATTACAGGACTTACTCTGGCAGTTTAGGGTTTTTTGACCCTCCGGTAATGGTGGTTTTACAGCTTAACCACCTTGTGCACTCGTGGGTGTTTGACGTTATGAAAAGGGGTTTATCCTAAGTGTAAATGAGACACTTGATTCAGAGAAAATTCCATTTTTAAGTGTTACTTGTTTGCTATAGGGATTGAATAGGAAAATGTTAAAAACTAATTTTAATAGTCGCTTGTAAGGGTTCTCCGTGATACTAAGATGGGAAGTGTTTTAAACTTGTTAAAAAAACAAAAGTACAGCAAATGCTCTGATAACTTATTGCATTGCATACTGTTAGAGGCAGACTTTCTAGATTGTTGTGTTCTGGATGAAGATAAATATTGAACTCTTTGTGGTGGTGTTAAATTGTATCATTGAAAAACAACAGAATTTTAAAAGTAAAGATTTGAGGGAGTTTTTTTTAATAGCAGAAACTGTGGTTTATAATATTAGGTAATTCTCTACTAATGGTGAGAAGTCTTGGTAATAACTCTTACCTCCCACCAGTTTCATCCCAGGTATGTGCAGAAAGTGCCATGGTTTTCAGATTTCTTTGTGAGGAACCGAGGTGCTTGCAGGCAGATTTAAGATTAGAATTCAGGTCACATGCCTGCCCATTTAACCTAATCCTTTGTAAAATGGAAGTTAGACACCCATGCTTTCTGATTCTCCTGAAGAATAAATGTCTTTCAGTGCTTTCTCAGATCGCTTAAAAGAAAGTTACTGCATAAAATCAAATGTTTTAAATGCAGATGTGTGGATGGTCTGGACAGAGAGGAGACAAAGGAGCTGATATATTCCAGGTGGCAAGGTATAATCACAGTTTATTTTTAATGTACTTAGATAAAAACCTGATTTGGGGGAGTTGATTCCTTAATGTAACAGTCATGATCCAAATTGTCTTAGAGCTGATGGGATTTCAGACTGTGTAGTTTTGTTGTATAACTTGTTAATTTATCATTTCCTCCTATCTAAAATAGTTTCAGCTTCTTTCCTCAGCCATTTAATTGAAAAAGAAAATACGTTTTCAGCTTTTGAATTGAAATTAAAGATTTTGAATTGGAATTAAAGATGTTTGGGGGGTTTCTTGATCACCACTGTTGATGTTTCTCTTAATGTAATGGGCAGGAATTATCAAAGAAAAGTTTTCAGAAACATACAAAGGAATATACAAAAAATATACTGACTTTTAAAAATCTTAAAACAAGGGCTTCTTTCTTTAGGCCTTACTGGAACTTAGGTGGGCTTGTGTACTGACCCCCTGCATGTTCTCTGTTATCCGAGGCTGTCACCTCTGTGTTTTGCATCGGCTGCTGAGTCATCATGAATGGCAAGGCGCTTCATGACATGGCATGTTTTATACTAATGTTATTTGATTAAGTGTCCAAGGGTTTCTTCGCAAAAATGAAGTTTTTGGTTGTGTCGTAAAGGGTAGGTCTAAGAATGAGATGTCTGGCAGTGGCAGTTAATGGATGTTTGCAATTACTTCTCAGGCCAATAGGCTGGTGCAGTCATGTAGTACCTGCGACTTTTGCATGTGTTCAACTGACTTGTAATTTCCTGTTTTGACTCTTGGGTCAGCTTTGCTAAGGTATATATCTAAAGTTTACACTTTTCTTTCAACTTCTGATGTTTAAAATGCCATTTTGCTTGAACTTGTGGAGACAGAAATCCATTGTCTCACTCAACTAAAGGGTAGTAACTTAAGAACTGTAGGAGCAAAATGAAGAACAGCCCTGAATAATGTAAATTGATCATCTTCACTGCCTTCTCCCCTACCCCCTAACTCTTAGCCTAGATACATTTAGGAAATGGTGTCATTTTTCTAGTTTGGAGTGAACAGGTCACTAAAGAGGATGTGGTTAGTTTTGTTACCTGTTCAGTCTCCTTTCCCATTTCCTTTTTGTGCAGACTGTCAGGCCCATAAAGTCAACTCTGGAGAGGTCAAGCTTTTCCTAATAGTCACCACAAAAAACTTGAGCTCATGGGCAAACTAGAACTTTGCCTCAGGAAGAATCTACTGCCACCTCGTGGTGAGAGGGAACTACTTATTTTTGCCCTGTTTGGGGAGCTGTGGTTCCAAGGTTTTTTTCTCCTGGTTTGGAGCAAAGGGAGTCCACTCATTTTATGTTGTCAGATGTAGTTTGTCTGTCTTACAAGTCAGTTCCTGCATTTAGCTGTTTCAGTTGTTCAGTAGCTTAGATCAGGAGTCTGCAAATTTGTCTGTTAAGGGCCAGGTAGTAAATATTTAGATTTTGTCACTGCAAGTTCATTGTTTTTACAGCCCTTTAACAAATATGAAACCCATTCATAGCCTGAGGCCTGTGAAAACAGACTGAGGCTGAATCTGGTTCACTGACCATGTTTTGCCTAATTCTGATTTATATGATAGTATCGTCTTTTTGTTTTGTTTTGGTAGTTTTTATATGATACTTTGTCCCAAATAAGTATGTTGTACTTGGTATCTGATGGCCAAAGAGTCTTCTCAGTTTTGAAAAGGAGAGATGTTTAGAGACTGAATACTTAATTACAGAAGTCACTAAGTAGTTTTGACTTTCATTTTCCTTTGCTTTATTCTATATACTGTCAGCGGAAATAGAAATAGAAATGGAAATACTTGATAAAAAGAATGTACTGTAATGGAGTCAGAACATTGGGTTTGAATCCCCCTTCTGCCAGGACTTGGCCAAGTTATTTCTCTCTGCTTAATTTACACATCTGTAATGTGGAGATTGTGAGAGTTAAATGAGATAAGTGGAGCCCCTGGAGCAAGGCCTGACTGTGAAATCACTGTGGTCAAATAGAGCTTTTTGATGTTGGATTTAAGGACTCATTTACTGAGTAATGAGCCCAAATCTTTAAGTTTGCTACCCTCTTAAGTTCTTATTTGTTTTTAACGTATTTTCCTCATAGAAATGCCAGTTATTTAAGTGAATAGGAAAATAAATCCAAATATTAAGTTTTTTAATGCAAAGTAGGTTTTTTTGTTTGTGATGAGAGGCCCTGTGTATGGCATTTTATCAATTTACTTAACAATTTTTCTAATAAGGTAAATGACAAAAAGCCCAGGTGTTGGTTTTGCATTTCCTGCAAGTCCCTGATGAGGCAATTATCTGTTAGTTTGAAATAAAATGAAAAGTTTGGTCTGATGTGACTGTTTAAAAGCATTTTTTCATTAGACACAGATTACTACTGAAAATAGGTAATGACATTTTCAAAAATGTTTTATTTATAGTTAATTTATGGTCATGTTTGCAATAAACTTTTTTAAAAAACGTATTTTTAAATATAGTTTAGTATGTTTTAAAAAGATTCTTCTGTGTTGGGAAACCCAGTTTAATAAAGTCTTGCCACCAGATACAGTTTACTGTGGTTATTATCAGAAACAGATTATTAGAATGTCTTTTCTGTCATAGATATTTCAGTTTGCTTGGTTTTGCTTATCTTTTTCATAGTGTGATACAGTTTTCAAACATTATGTAAGAAAAGTGACAATATCATATAGGTAACTGGGTTAAACTGCTTTGGGCTTTTATTAGGTCTCATTGCTAATTTGAAAGGTCTTTTACGACTCCTTTTCTTGTTGTTGCTTGGTTACTGTTAGTTACCTATTAATAACCGCTTCTGTGATATGAATAACTAAAACGAGATACTAAGCCAGGTTGTGCTTTCCCTTACTGTGTTAGTGGCAGAAAGTCTTTGAAGGAGGTTGAAATTTGTAGCCATTGGTAGTTTTAATTTTTTAGGCAGAATAATTTTAATGCTCATGATTTTCGGCTTTATCTCTTGAATTCTGAAGAGAAATGAAAAGTGTAGGTTAAGTGGCTACAACGATTTGGATTGGCTGGATAAGGAAAACTTGGCTGCTTAGTGACTAACTGTAGGTTGTAAAATATGACAAAGAATAGCTTAGATTTGGAGATTAAGTTCAGGCTATTGAAACTAGATTCAGTATGCCTGAATTGGAATTTGACTACTTCATTTCTTTTTTTCCCTCATGGAAATAACAGAGAATTAAAGTCATAAGAGAGATGCATTGTTAAAGTAAGTAATGTTAGAATGGGTATGTTAAAACACTGAAAATAAATGAAGGATTAGAATGGCATCTAGGTTTTTACCGTTTACTGTTAAAGATATTTTTGTAATTAGATATTCTTTAGGTCTCAAGTGAAGTCTTGGGTTCTTAGCTCTTGTTCTTCACTTGGGCTTGGAGGAAGCAAG